TTTTTTTTTTAATTTATTTATTTAGTTTTGGCTGCATTGGGTCTTCGTTGCTGCGTGCAGGCTTTCTCTAGTTGTGGCGAGCGGGGGCTACTCCTCGTTGCAGTGCGCAGGTTTCTCATTGCCGTGGCTTCTCTTGTTGCGGAGCACGGGCTCTAGGCTTGCGGGCTCAGTAGTTGTGATTTGCAGGCTCTAAAGCACAGGCTCAGTAGTTGTGGCTCACGGGCTTAGTTGCTCTGCGGCATGTGAGATCTTCCCGGACCAGGGCTCGAACCCGTGTCCCCTACATTGGCAGGCGGATTCTTAACCGTTGTACCACCAGGGAAGCCCCTTCTTTCTTTATTATTTCTTTGTTAGCCATATACATGCCTGAGCCCATTACATCTGAATCTCAGAGGGTGAAGTCAACATCTCCAGGCTTGAAAATCACTCTGGATAGACTTGTCAAAGGCCAGTGTGGGAGCAGTGATGGCCTGCGTGGGCACGGACACCGCTTAGGGCTGGGTTTCTCCACAGTATTCACAGAAGGTTTGGTAATGCCCAGTGTTTCTGAGTAAGGGTCTATCTACATTATCCTAATTACTAACCAGCTTTAATCCACTGAGGTAAATTTTGACTTTGGAATGTTCCTCTTAAGAGTATTTTTTTTTTTATTTTTTTTATTTTTTTTAATTTTTTATTTTTTTAACATCTTTATTGGGGTATAATTGCTTTACAATGGTGTGTTAGTTTCTGCTTTATAACAGAGTGAGTCAGTTATACATATATATATGTTCCCATATCTCTCTTAAGAGTATTTTATAACTCTTACTGTTTGTTAGTGGGAAGCCATCTCATTTTTCACAGGTTAAGGATAAATTGAAGGTGGTAGGATGACTGATTTCCTTTCTTGTTCCTTTTTTTTTTTTTTTTTAAACTTAAGGATCTACCTGAAGTATGAGTTGATTTGGAAAATTTGACAATGCAGAACAGTGACCTCCTTTTCATGTTTATTACCAGCAAAACTGCAAGAAACTTTTTTTTTTTAATGGCTGTTGATAAAAGGCATGGCTAATAAAGTTTGAAACTATTCCAATTTCTAATTGACAGAGGAAGAACTGGCAACTCCTCCGCTAGATGGCATCATTCTTCCAGGAGTGACAAGGCAGAGCATCCTGGACCTGGCACACAAGTGGGTGGGTGCCTTTGACATGAACCACTTTTATAAGCATGGAACAAAAAGTAATCAAAATAAGTCCAGCTTAGTTTTGAAATAATATCCTGTAGTTCCAACCAATGCTGTCTCATCTTTAAATCTTAACTTGAGTGAAAAGAACTCTTCTAGAAGGACTGTCTTGGTGAGACTATCAAGTAAGTATTGTTTGTAGGGAGGGCAGGCAGAAGCTAGTTCAGTAGGTCGTCCTAGTGAAGATGTATTCTAGTACTAGTCTCACGCTTTATACCAGGTGTCTCCTACCGACTCATCTGCTTTACCCTCCGAGGGCTTCCTTTTCGCCAGCCTTTAACTTTTCAAGTCTGAGTGTGTTGTTTCCAAATGGCAGTGGCACGTAGTCCTTCCCTTTTCTCTGTTTATTCCAGTGTAACCATGCTAGGAGTTAAAAGAATTTTACTGACATATAAATGCTTACTAACATGACAGTATTAGTTTCGCGGCCTTCTTTCTCCCTCCTTCCTGCCCCCTGTCCTCCCAGATTCACATACATGCTTATTTTAACATCTAAACATTCAAGCAAATGTAAAGTTGTTTTCAGTAGCCTTTCTGATTCAAGTGACACAGGCACGTGTGTTAAACCATTCGGTATTGGAAGTGACTTAGCATATTCAAGATGAATATTGAATGAGTTGATTAATCTGGCAAAGGTTCCTGGCTGGGACTTCTGACCCATGTATTGAAATGGTCTCCAAGGGACAAGAAAAGGCTTTGAGCAGACTGTGGTGAAACAGTGCTAATAGGACAAATGTTTAGAAACACACACGTCTACGAGAGTACAGTTTCTCTGGAAAAGGCTTTGGAAATAGAGAAAACGTGCTATAAATAATTCTCAAAACCCTGAAGTAGGCAAGACCCAACTGCCACATGCTGGCTGGCGCATCGGGCATGACATTTACAAACTGTTGGTATAATTTCAAACAGCTTGCCCTGTCCTAATTGTGTTTTCAATTGGAAAGATGTATTTTCCAAGCTCAGTGATTTTTGTTTTATTAAAGAGGAAAATCAACCAAGTACAGAAGGTTTGATGAGAAGTTCCAAGTGGAAATTCCCCCACGCTAATGATTTGCTAGCATGAAAAATAGGTTATTATAGAGGAAGTTTCTTCCTGACTCCTTAGCTATAATTTATGTTTAAAACTGTGAGACACAAATGCCAAGAGGCACACGGGGGGTTACCACTGTTTGCCAGGTAGGGGAAATTGTCCAAAAATAAGTGAGGGTAAGCGAGTAAAAAGAATCCTGTTTATGTACAAGAGATTTTTTTTCTTTTCTTTTCCACAACACAGAACTCAGCTTGTTCTCGCTTGGCTGATTTGCTGGAGTTTGTTTGTTTGTTTGTTTATTTATTTATTTATTTATTATTTGCCTTTGTACAACTTAATTGCAGTTGCAGACTGAGATAGGTTGAAACTTATAAAAAGCCATGTTTCTGTTGCAGGCATCTTTCCCT